AACCAGTCGTGGAAAAAGGATTTTTCCCTCATGACCAATAGTTATCACGTGGCCACCAGCTGATCAATAGTCTCCTGCAAATTGATGGATGGTTATTGTTGCCAAAAACAGGTTTACTGCACCCTTTGTCCCACTCACATTATACTGACACTGCCAGTGGACTTCAAGGATCAGAGGCAGCAGGGAGAATGTAACGTGGTATGTAAATGCAAGAGATAAAGGGTTTCTTTTCTTGGATCTGCATGGCAGCTGCACTGGTGTCGCTTTAAGTGAGAACTTTATGAACCTCATAAATCGGTTTGGGGGCATTCCTTGGAGATTTTGAGGTAAATCTCTGGAGAAGATCCTGGACTGCTCTGTGAAAGGCATGTCTGTAGCAGAACTGGCAGACTGTAATGGAAAGTCTGCACTTTTATTCTAATGACAAATATAAGCGTTATATCAATGTTTGTTTGTGGGATGCTGCTGTAGTTTTCTGGGTTGTGCCACTTTCGAAGCAGGAAGATCAGTTACACAGAGAAAGGTCGCTGACTGATGTTTTCAGTTTTGTCAAGCCAGCAAATGCAAAAAAAGGACTTTGTTAATTACCAAGACCACACTGAGGGGAAAACATACTGCAAAGGCAGTGGGTTGTCACACATGGTCATTTCACACCACATTATGCATTGAAACACTGAAGTACATAACTAAGTATCAAAGTAGTTAGGACTGTCCAGCGCTCTACCTGACCCTCCCCGAGGCAAACCTGAAGGACCACAGCTGCTCTCTGAGGTGACTGCTCCAGCCTCAGCAGATGGAAGGCTGAGAGAAGGCACAGCAAGGAACTATGTTACTATTCAGCCAGTAGTCTGGACACACTGCACCACAACCACGGGAGCAGCGATCACCCACGACTTACTGTGTAGACTGCTGCCCCTGGTCATTTTTTAGCTGCACAGTCAGGGTTAGAAATAACAGGAAACATGGCTAACCAACACAGGCGTAGAAAGTTGTGCCAGGACATGATGATAAGCTGAGAAATACACCAGTTAAGTTCGACGCATTTGTTTATGTAGTTTCATATAAATTTAATGAAATAAAAAAATATAAGAGAAAGCAACTGTCTGAGTACGGTCAGGTTTATCGTGTCTCTCTAAGCTTGATATTACAGCTTTTGGTAGGGGGAAGATTCATAAAAAATGTATAGAGTTTATCTGCGGTGTTAGAATTATATTGGCAATTGTCATTTGTACAAATACTGTCACATGCGTATTCTATTCAATTCAATTCAACTTTGTTTGTACAGCGCCAAATCACAACAAGGTGCTTTATATTGTAAGGTAGACCTCACAATAACACATACATAGAGAAACCCAACAATCATATGACCCCTTATGAGCAAGGACTTTGGTGACAGTGGGAAGGAAAAACTCCTGTTTAACAGGAAGAAACCTCCAGCAGAAACAGGCTCAGAGAGGGGCGGGGCCATCTGCTGCGACTGGTTGGGGAGAGAGGAGGAACATTTAACCCTTCCAAGATGGCGTTACACCTTTTCTGACAGCTGGAATGATCATCTGTTTACAACATCACAGCAGTCATAAGGAATTCCTTCCCTGTAGCTGCCATGCTATGAAATATCCAAGGTGGCTCAGGTGCACAGGAATTTGGCCTTTCAAAACAGAAATCTTCAGTCTTAAAGTTGCGCTGTACCACAAACTCCACCCTGCTGCCACACAGGCAGTTTCACCCTGAGTGGGGAAGTTCACGAGTTTTGATAACAAACCAGGTACCGAATGCACTGCTGTCACATTTGGGGCCAAAAGTCCGTTTAGGTTAGATTAAATTCTTCTTTGTTGAGGATTCTTAACTCTTTGCTTTGTTCCTTGATAATTCACGGTCACGATTCCCAAGCATGTCTTTCATCCTGTCTTCCTTCTCTCTCCCCAACAGGTCGTGGCAGATGGCCCCGCCCCTCCCTGAGCCTGGTTTTGCTGGAGGTTTCTTCCTGTTAAAAGGGAGCCAAAGTGCTTCCTCATAGGGGGTCATATGATTGTTCAGTTTTTCTCTGTATGTATTATTGTAGGTCTACCTTACAATATAAAGCACCTTGGGGTCATTGTTGATGTGATTTGGTGCTGAATTGAATTGAACTGAACTGAATTGAAAACTGAACAATTCAACATAGCAACTAGCTGGCTAATGTTGTTGCTAGCACGATATGATCTGAAGCCAGAATTTGTTTTGCTCTCATTTTGTGTTGGAGTCCGTGTTGTGTCAATTTCCAGACTGGTACTGGTCACCATGGGCACTGACAGTTGAAGAGAGGCATCCACAGTCTCTTAGAGGGGACCCAGAGTGTCACCAAAAGTCTCCCTTTTTCTAGAGCATGACAGTCAGATACATCCAGACAGTGCCAGTAAAGGGCATTTAATTAATCATGTTTGAGAAGATTCAGGAATCCAGGCTTCACTAGTATCTTATCTAAGATCAGCTGGGAAAACGCCTGTTAAAAGTATGGCTAGATGGAATCACTGGTTCCCTTACATGAAGGCTTCTCATTGACATGTATGTAAATAGAATGAAAGACTTTAACTAATGTTACATATAACAGTCATTCATCATCAATTGATCAGTATTAACTGTAAAGACATTTCCATTATATTTCATTTGAATCATGAGCTTTGCTCCTGTGTCTGTAAAACAGAAATTAAAATTTTTAGTTACTGGTTTATTTTTTTATTTTTATTTTTTTAAATGACACTAATGGTGATAAAAAGGTTATATGGCACTGGCAGCCATGCTGGACTCTCCACTCTGCTCAAACATTCCTGTTTCACTACTAGAGATGGGCAGTAACGCGTTACTGTAATCTGATTACTTTTTTCAAGTAACGCATAAAGTAAGGGATTACTATTGCAAAAACGGTAATTAGATTATGTTACTTTCCCGTAGGAATGCTGCGTAACTGCGTTACTAAAACCGTGATTTTTTTGCGAGAACGTCTCACGACAGTGACGTAAGCGAGTGCGACGTTAGTGACAACAGCTGTGTGCAGATCAACAATGGATCA